ATTTGTATCTATGCAAAGGCATTTCAAAAGACTTGTGCAATAAAATAAACTATGGATAACATTGCAAAGAATGGGTATTCCAGACACTTAATTGTGCTCATGTGGAACCTGCGCATAGACCAATAAGCAGTAATTCAAACAGAACAAGGGAATAAATACTAAATTGCTTAAAATCAGGAAAGGTGTGCATCAAGGTTGTACCCTTTCATTATACTTATTCACTGTTTGCTAAGCAAATAAACGGAGAAACTGGACTATATGAAGAAGAATGTGGCATCAGGATTGGAGGAACACTCATTACCAACCTGTGATATGCAGATGACACAACCTTGATAGCTGAATGTGAAGGGGACTTGAAGTACTTGCTGATGAAGATCAAAGAATACAGCCTTCACTGTGGAATATACCTCATGTAAAGAAAACAAAGATCCTCACAACTGGACCAGTAAATAATAACATGATAAACAGAGAAAACATTGAAGCTGTCAAAGGCTTCATTTTGCTTGGATCCACCATCAACATTCATGGAAGCAGCAGTCAAGAAATCAAACCGTTTGCATTGGACAAATCTACTAAAAAAAAAAAAAAGAGAGACCTCTTTAAAGTGTTAAAGAACAATATATACTTTGAGAACTAAGGTGGCCCTGGTCCTAGCTATAGTGACCCAACAGAATGTGGAAATCATCGGACTATCTCCTTGATATCCCATGCGAGTAAAGTTTTACTAAAAGTAATATAGAAACAGCTACAAGCATACATTGACAGAGAACTTCCAGAGGTTGAAGCCAGATTCAGAAGAGGCCATGGAACCAGGGATATCATTGCTGATGTCCGATGGATCTTGGCTGAAAGCACAGAATATCAGAAAGATGTTTACCTGTGCTTTATTGACTACGCAAAGGCGTTAGATTGTGTGGATCATGAAAAGCTATGGGCAACATTGCGAAGTATGAGTATTCTGGAACACTTAATTGTGTTTATGAGGAATCTGTACCTGGACCAAGAAGCACGTGTTCGAACAGAACATGGGAACACTGAATGGTTTAAAATTAAG